TTTACTGCTGCCCTGAATTATTCTTTGTGCTATTATGAGTAGCTGATAGACACAAAGGTAACATTAATGTGTCTACATTTAGCCTGTATCTGGGGCTAAACAATAGCCAGCTATTCTGTTACCCAATGACCCTTCCCCACCCAAGGAGGGGAATTGGGAAAAGGAAAGAAGACTCGTGGGTTGAGATAAGAACTATTTAATAATTGAAATAAAATAAAATGGAAAATAATAGTGATAATAATAATATATACAGACAAGTGATGTACAGTGCAATTGCTCACCACCCCATGACCAATATCCAACCTGTTCCCAGCTAGCAATCCCAGAGGAGGAAAATCCTGAAACCGCAGTCCTGGAAGAGAGAGAGTAGGCCTCAGGAGCAAAATGATGGGCGAGACCCTCCAGGGACAGCGGTCATTGAGAAAGAGATGGCGACCACTGAGAAAGAGAGATACCATCCCTAGCAAACTTTGCTATTTATAAATTGCAATTTATAAATTGTCAAATGGGTGTTCCATACCATGTAGTGTCCTTCTCATTACCTGCAGAACATTACATGGTATGGAATACCCATTTGCCAATTCAGGTGTCAATTGTCCTGGCCATGCTCCCTGCAGATTCTTGACCATCTGAGTCATTAGCAAAAACAAGTTTATAAAGTCCTTGATCTCTATAGATACCTTGGTGCCATGGCTTGCTACAAACTAAACCAAAGCATCTTACCAACTTTGTTCTAACTGAATTGGGTGCTGCAGTCTTGAAAATGCAGCTTGCTTTAGAAATGTAGCTTTTCTGAACAGAAAACTGATTCTATGATTCTATCCCAGCAAAACCAGGATGTCATGTAAAGCTGCTAAAAGCAAGGTTTAAAAAAATGGTCCTACAAGTTAAATATATTATATGTAGGTTTAATATATGTCCTTTGTTGATTCTTTAAGGGGGGAAGGAAAAGGTTATCTACATTTCTTTTTTTGAATCAGTTACTACTTTTCCTTTTGATCTATTATCTGTTATTTAGATGAAGGCTGTCTCCTTTCTGAGAAAATTTTAATTTTGCAAATATCTACTTGGCAGCAGCCTGAATACAAAGAGTACCTGATATTAAGTTATGTTACACAATGTCAGTAAATAGTATTAGAAGCTAGAATAAATGTGGTGTGTTACAGCACTTTTGCGAAGTTAAAATCATGTTCTATATTAAATATGTGGTGTATATATTTGTCTTCCTAGAAGGAAAACAAAACTATTTGGGTCATCACAGGTCAAAATAATTTCTTCTTTCTTATAGCCAGAAGATATGTTTGTTTGTGACATGAATGAACAAGACATCAGTGGTCCTCCACCACATAAGAAACTAAAGAAAAGCCAGTGCACACCTCTTTTTATGAATGCCTACACTATGAGAGGTGCGTAGCAAATGTTTTAGTTCAGCGATGACTGAAGCACTGTATATACACATTCACAAAATTGAATTTCAATACCATGTTCTTTCTACATGGAGGTTACAGTGAAATAAACATGAAACTATAAACCAAATTGATTTGCAAAAGAATTTGTACAATGGAAGGTAATCCATGGTGCCATCCTGTGAGTGTCATTTACATTTTAATCTCCTCATGTAGCTGTATCTGTGATCATATTTCGGCACTAAATTTTAGTGCAGTATATTAGTAGGTTGCTGGAGTTGCTGGGGGATTTACGGCAGTTTGTATCAGTAGTTTTGCCTATTCAGCAACTATGGCTCAGATCCTTTTGCAACCATTGGCTGTGATCAAAAGTTCTAAAGGTGAAAAAGTAGGAAACTTCTTTTGCAGGTAGACAGCAATAGAGAGCTTTTGCTATTGTGTAAGATTGACATCTGTTACTTTGTAAAGGATTTAGGGAGTCTCTTCTGGTCTTCCTGCATAAGAAGCTTACATGTATACCAGAGGAAAATTCATTTCGTATTTTTAGCAACATTGCAACTTTATAAGTAAATTATAGTTATTCTGTACCTGTCTTTTCATCATGACACAATAAGATAACAATACATTTTTTTAGAGAATATGTGGATAATCAAAGAAGAGTACTAGCATAAAAAAATTCTAAACTTTAGTCTCACAAATGAGATTGGGAATTCTTTAGAATCTCAGAACTCTGCTGAAATTAAGGAGTGTTTCAGTCATTGCAGCATGTAAAGAACTGTACGAGTAGTTTCTCCTTGAATTTATCACTAACTAAAGGTTAACACTAGTGTCCTGAGACTATCCATAATTATCCTTTATATATGAGTAATTATCTCATACCTTTATTTAGGTTGCTGTATATGTCTTCCTGTAATTCTTGCTGTAATACAGTAGATCACATTTGCGAAAATGCCTAGCCAAGGGAAATCGATCAAGTATATGAAAAAAAAATTCTTAATAGACACATTTTAAAATTAATTCTAAAAATTTATTTTTTTCTTTTTTTTTTTTCCCTTTTCTGTACTTAGGGGCAGGTGCAGTGATCCATACTCATTCCAAGGCTGCTGTTATGATTACCCTTCTTTACCCAGGGAGTGAGTTCAGGATTACCCATCAGGAGATGATAAAAGGAATCCAGAAGTGTACTTCAGGAGGCTATTACCGGTACTTCTCTAAATTTAAGAAAAGAGGCATGCTATTTGATCATTCGTTTTCAGCAGTATAAATAGATGACAAGTCATTTGAGTTATGTGCGTTAAGATGTGTAATATAAAGTATTAGGAATAAGAAGTAAAAAGACCTCAGGAATAAATCAGTCATTGGCTTTCCCTAAGAAGGACTTAAGCCTATGGAAAAGATCTGAGATACAATCTTGTAATGTCAAGGCTATTGTGGTCTGTTGAGTTACAGAAACAAACCAAAGAAAGAGCTACATAGAATCATAGAATGGCATAGGCTGGAAGGGACCTCAGAGATCATCTAATCCAACCTCCCTGTCATGGGCAGGGACGCCTCTCAACTAGACCAGGCTACTCAAGGCACCATCCAACCCGGCCTTGAACACCTCCAGAGAGGGGGCATCCACAACTTCTCTGGGCAATTTATTCCAAAGTCTTACCACCCTCGTACTGAAGAATTTCTTCCTAAGATCTAATCTACCTCTGTTGTCCTTCAACTTAAACCCATTTCCCCTTGTCCTATCAGTGGACACTCTTGTAAAAAGTCCCTCCCCAGCCTTCCTGTAAGTTTCCTTCAGGTATTGGAAGGCAGCTATTAAGTACCCCCGAAGTCTTCTCTTTTCAAGGCTGAACAATCCCAGCTCCCGCAACCTGTCCTCGTAGCAGAGGTGCTCCAGCCCCTGGATCATCTTTGTGGCCCTCCTCTGAAAAATTGACAATACATCTTGACAAATATCTTGAGAACAGGGCTGTTAACACATCTGTACAATGTTAAACTGAAACTGAAGCCAACCAAGGTTAGGTTGGATTGATAATGTAAAAACTACATTTGGGTGGACTTCATATATCACTGCCTGTGCTAGTTTAGGGCATGTTAACAGAGTAGAGGATTTCAGATTGTACTTGACAGACTTTGAAAGAAAATTCAGGCTCATTAAAGGCAATGTTATTACTTTTCAAGGATGAGCTCTGAGGTAAGTGCTGAGTTATTCCAAATTATGTGTGATGGCTTGTTTTGAGGACTCCACCCACAAAGTCTTGAATTGGGGTCTGCAAACAACATTTATATAATATGTGACAACTGGCTGAAAAATTGAAATGCTAAATTTTTTCCACTTTTTGATATTAATTTTTGTAACTAACTATTGCCCTTTGGCAAGGGAGCAAACAATTTATCTGGTGTGTGATTTTATGCCTGGGCATATTTTATTCAGTTTTGACAGCTTTTCCTTTTTGTCAGCATTAGCATTTGTATTTTTAATGTGGCAAAAGAGACTCCTTATATTGAATTGTCTAGCAACACTGGTTTTAAAAAAATCCACAACAACTTTATTTTTTTGGATATGCATTTTGAATTCTCAGACGTTCCTAGGAGACATTGTATTTATTGGGTTCCATATCTCCGAGTTGTCTCCTGTCATCCTGTTAATTTCACAGAATCATAGAATGGTTAGGGTTGGAAGGGACCTCAAAGATAATTCAATTTACCAGAAAAACTGAAGAAATCAAAGCTCCAGATTACATGGTTTCTAAGTACACATGCAGCCACACTAGACCTATTCCACTGTCTTGCCTCACATGAATCTCCCCATTGAATTCAAAAGAAATTTGGTAGTACAGAATGGAATCTTTCAAAAAAGGGATTGACAATATATTGTTTGTAATTACATAAAACTTCTCGGAAAGCTATCCAGGAAAATGCTACAGATAGGACGTATTTGTTGGCCTAAATATGATTCCAGTAATGCCAGAATAGTTTTACCTTTGACTTCAGTAGAAGGAGAACTAGATCTGTAGTAAATAGCTTTGAAAGTCTCAGACTGTCCCAAAGTATTTTATATGAAGGTTTAGCTAAATGTAGGCTGCTTGTTTTTCAGTAAAGAGATACCAAGTATTTAACTCATTCAGAATCTTCTTGGGATTTTATAGATATTAGTTTTTAATAAAAATATTATGATTAGGAATCAGTTATGGTACTTACACGTGCTTCCAAACTCATGTCCAAGTAGAAAGCAGAACCTAGGAAACCAGTCCCGTAGCTCATTTGGCCTGATGAGTAGCAAACAATCCAAATCTAATCTTAATGATCAGAATATGTAAGAGTCAAAGTAAGCCTACAAAACCCACTTAAATTCAGTATTTTTCATTCACTTCATTCACTATTTTTATAGAATTCCTTGGGAAACCATCAGCATTGAAAACTGTAAGGGATGAGACTTTACAATTTTCTGAATATCTGATTTCAAGTACAAGCTGTTTTATTTTTTCTGTGTTTTACAAAAGTAAGTACTACTAGCATCCACTCAGAAAATATCTATGTGATCTCAATGATAAATCTGAACCTGAACTGGGGACTTATTAAAACTATTTAAACAAGTTTCTGCCAGTGTTAATTAAGGTTTGAACAATGCCAAATATCCCAGTCCTCCTTCAGAAGAAACTCTCAGGCAAGTTCCACTGAATAACATGCATCATCTTGTCTTTGGAACTAGGGCTCTCGGGCTCTCTTAAGATCACATGTAGCCCACCAATGACTCCATCACAGAGAATTTGTTTTTCATGTGTTGACTCTACTTTCTATTTATATGCCTTAGCAGGACAATCTTATTTCCAGGGGCCTTTTGGACTACCTAAATTAATTTTTTTCTGCTCTACAGAAAACAGCTTCGTTTCCTTCTTCATGATGTGATTCTTTTAAATAATTTAATCTGAGATAAAGCTTGTGGGTGATGCCAATACAGGATGAAGAAAGTCTTAAAAGTTGTAAAGGGACCCAACTACAAAGTGATACGTGAACAAACAGATACACCTAATATGTTAAAAGTGTTATTTTCTTTCTGTGCCTCAAGTGTAGCTCAGGTGTTGCCAGACATTGGGGAGTGAAAGATGTTCCTGGGAATTCTTACGATACAGCGTGACTCACAAGAGAAAAGTGTAAAATCACTAGTGTTGAGAATTTGGTAACATCTCTACACAGTCAAAGGAGAATCTCTTTCTTAGGGAAAAGCTTTATACAGCCAAACACAGTGTTTTTTTAAATACATGAGCATTCATTTTTCTTCTAGATATGATGACACACTAGTGGTTCCCATTATTGAGAATACACCAGAAGAGAAGGATCTCAAGGAAAGAATGGCACGTGCAATGGAAAAATACCCAGACTCTTGTGCTGTATTGGTCAGACGTCATGGAGTTTATGTATGGGGAGAAACATGGGAAAAAGCCAAAACTATGTGAGTACAGTTTAGGAATAAGGTCTCTTTTGCCATTACATCTCAAAATCTTAATGATCTTAATGTCATGTGTATTTCCAACCCATGGAGAATGATTCAGAACATTAAGTTCTGTCCTGACTGAATGTGTAGGGGGCTTTTGGGAATGGGCTCAGCTATGATTCCACTGCTTGGTTTTCCTTTCATATCAATGCTGGCTGATAGAGTTGCCAACGTTTTCCTTTCATATGGACAAGTCCCTCCCCATATGAAACTTACAGACAATCTCTGCTTTTAGATGACACCTGCCAATACTGTTTGTATAGTCTTCCCTAGTCCCATTTTTGGAATTTACTTCTTCATTTGCTGATGAAAACGCAGCAGATCAGGATCATGTAGCAAAAATAGTGTGCACTCTTCATACTGCAGTAATGGAAATAAATAATAATAGAGCTGTCCAGTCAGGCTGTCACATTGGTGATGTGAAGCTCAAGGAAGAAAATTTAATTTTCGTAAAACATGGTAAGACTTGAGCCTTACTTTATGTTTCATTTTTTTTTCCTTTTAATTTTAGGTGTGAGTGTTATGATTACTTGTTCGATATTGCAGTGCAGATGAAGCAGCATGGTCTAGATCCTTCAAAACATCCAGCGGGAGAAAACGGGATTTTATAAAAGACAACAACATTTATATTCAGGTGTGAATTTATCTGTAGACGTGATTTGTTTGCACCATCACTTCAGTCTGCTTTTCCACTCAAGAAACTTCAGTATTGCACATCTCCTCCACTCCACTCCATTACCACTGCAATTGTAGCTGTGCCTGAAATAATGCTCCTTTAGTACACAGTGCAACAAAAAGATACGTATTAATAATTAGTTCAGTGTGTCCTGGGCATATTTTAGCACCTATGTACAGCATGAAGTGCAATTGCTTTTTAAAACTAAACTATATCAAGCATTAGCAGTGCTTGATGGAGAGCAAAGACTGCATGCTAGTAAGCTAATCTATACAGAGATGCCTGAGCACCCACTTTTGTTCTTCATCTTGCAGGATCAAGGTTGATTTCACTCCGTCTCAGTGGTATTACTTGTACGGTCAGTTGTGGGTTTTTTTTCCTTCAGCAGAAATGGCTAGTTGCAATTTGATTACGTTCCATTGATTAGTGTCACCTGTCTACGTCATACAGCAAATTACCCTGACTTTCTGTTTTCTAGTGTAGCAATGATCAATGTTTTGAAAGTTTTCATTACAACTATTTTAAAGTAAACGCACATAGGTAATATGATCAGGCAGGACTTCACATGAAGGATCTCTGAAACAATTCTCACATAAGCAATATACAGCTCGGTATGGCAAAACACAGTGGTAGTGTAATGTTTCAGAGTCTGGGACACTTCTTCCTGAAAAATCTAAGCAAGTTTAAAGATAGCGGTACTGAGATTATAAAGGAGTTGCTAGGCCAAAGTGGTGGTCTAACCAAACACTAACTCATTGCACAGAACTGCTAACTCATT